GACCCACCCCTGGCATCATACCTTATAGTTAAGAGAGACAGACAGAAGATTGTACTTAGTGGTTTGTGCCGACCAGATACATAGGCCTTATTCAAATATAATAAGTTGTAATGAAATATTCTGTAAGATCCACCTCTCGATTATAGTATTTGTTTACTTTCTGTTCACTTTGTAAAGCAGCTACTGTAGAACATACTTTACTTATTTTATGAAGCTAGTAATGGAGAGGGGGGTTGGCTTTATCAGTTACCAGTTCAAGTTTAGCTTATTTGTTGGTTCTTATTAACTTCCTCGATTGTCAGTAAATTATTAATCATGTTTTAATAAAACACTACTTTTGAAAAGCGAACAAAATGGATTTTTGTCGAGTCTCCTCCGTTGTAAACAAAGTGTAATAATTAGAGTGTAATAGATCGTAATAGTCGCATAGAGACAATAAAAAACAAAAGAGCCAAAGTGTAATAGCGATAAATACGCTTAAGTGTGTTTCACGGGTTAATGAAAACCACTCTAGTCGAATACCGGTGTGGGTTCTTATACCTGAAATATTGCCTATCTGGACATGTTGACCGACATATTGACTGGGTCGGGGTCCCAGCATAAAAAATATAATATACCCTATATAAATTAAATTATTATTATTATTCATGATTATTATTTATTACTTGGTATACCTGTGCCTATGGCTATCTTGTTTTCGGAAAGGTTACTGGCCATATGAAAAACGAGCAGAAGACTGTTAACCATGTTTTTTTAATCTGTTTTCTCCGTAGGAAAGAGTACATGTAAACTGCTAAATTGATTGAGTTTTAGTGATAACGAGGCTGGTAAGGCCTCAATACTGATTTTCACTCGTGCCATTGCAATTTCAGACACCTGTAACTTCTGACTTAAATTCAAGAGCATTCAAACTTTCAGATCTTACTCATTGTAATATGCCCTTTCAACGTAGTAATGATCTATCAAACAACTTATGAACTAAACGCGTTACGACAGCCACACCTTCACATGATCTCCCGGGGAGGGGTGGGGGGTGGGGGTACTCGACCCCGTTTTGGATAGGTGCGTGCCGCCAGAGGCCTAAACCCTAGCTCTGTGTAAGACACCAGAAAGTGAAAATCCATACCCCGATCAAGACAAATCGGAAAAATAAGGTCAAGTAAATACGCCACAAACATCAGAACTGCAATTATATTGACATTCATCAAAGACAAGAAGACGTTATCCTGGTACAGTGAAAGGGTATTTGTACTTTTTCTACGCTATAATGATAATGATAATAATAATAATAATAATAATAATAATAATAATAATAATAATAATAATAATATGTGGTCTTATATAGCGCATTATCATACTGTTTCAATGCGCTTTCACAACGAAGTAATGGTCGGACCGCTATTTAAGGCGCACAGCAGCCACGCGGCTTACAATCATGAGTGTGAGTTAGTTCAAGTTAGTAAGTAAGTCACTGAGGGTGGTCACTGCCAGAGATTTGTTTACGTCCTCAGTGGTTCTTTTACGTCCACCTTATAACAGGGTTAGAGTGAAAGCAGACGGGACCTCCGGCTTTACGTCCTTATCCGAGAGACGAGGCAGTGAAAGAGTAAAGTATCTTGCCCAAGGACACAACGTGATCGTCCGGTCTGGGAATCGAACCCGGGTCTTTTAGACCTGAGTCCGGTCCCCTAACCACTAGACCATCACGCCTCTTTATGAAACTTTTACCCTATCCAAGACATGACAAAAAATTTATCTCGGTCTTTTATCTAAAATATTGTACACCCTGCCTAAGACAGCAAGGCCAAAAAACCATACCCTGGCCAGCTGCACGTACCCGTATAGCAAATATATGGGAGTAACCCACCCCCCTCCCCCTCGCTAATTCAAATGGGAAAATATTACATGATATAATACTAGAAAGGTTTGTAAAAGAATTTTGAAAGTTTTGTTTCATATTTGACTGTCAGAAGGAGATGTATTAAAAGGTATTGGTTATACCAGACAGAAAGACAAAGAAGGCTTTGTTGGTGAGGCTTTGTACAAAACCATCCCTATTCTGACTAAAACGATAAAATTGTACCCTTATTAATATTAATAGCCTAGAAAGGATACCCTATATCCTAAACCTAAAACTGAGCCAAAAAACCATATCTATCGTTAGAAATCATGTGACTTTGATATTGAATGGGAGCACTGSAACATCACAGGGGTGGCTCAGCCAAACTTTTTATTATCAATTGCTTAAAATCTATATATAGAATTGATATATCAAAGACAGAGAAACTGAAAGGGCCAAATTTTGTATACGGGTAGTTTCTCCCTTTTCGTCCTGCACTATTTTCAGGAAATTATAACAATTGACAAAAAATTAAACAACAGATTAAATTAAAATTTGTTATTATTTGATAAAATTAAGTCATTCCTGAATGATAAATTAGTACTAAAGTGACTCAAAAACGCCGCTACAATAACTCTGCCGCAGAGAGCTATTTTTCCCCTTTCCCATATCCAGCCAGACACATTTTTCCCATTCCCATTTTTATTATGGTTCTTTTTTTCTGTGTTCGTGGGGCGGCGTCAGGTGCACCGATGGAATCCACGCCCTGTCTACTTTTTCGCATTAGCCAATCATTATCATCAGTTCACACGCCGTGTCTTTACTCGTAAGTAGACCGCGTCGCGTCAGTTGCTTCTTTCAGTCTTGCTGTTATAGCATCGAAACTTCAAGGTTGCACGATGGCCTTTAGACTTGGGAAAAACTTCATCATTTCACGAAACGGAAAAAGAATTAACATAAATGAAAATGATCTAAACCTAGACCGTTTGTCGGCTCTTTTCAAGGTAAGAAAATTGTTTGCAGCTTTGAATTGCGGAAGACTGACTAAAAGGACATGGAAAATTAAAACAGCTTCCTCCATATACATGTATTTCATCACAACAGGTTGTTAAGGAGACGCTATATCTTGAAGACATGCAAAGAAACATTTTTTTCCCTGACCAACATGGCAAGTTTCAAGTGGAGGAGATGGATGATATGGCCGTCTATCTTGTCGAAGGTGATCAGACAGATACTCCTGCTACTGCTACAACAACAAGTTATGCTACGGTTGCGAGGTAAGCAGAATTTGGTTTCCCCAATTCACTACCTATAAAGAAATGTAAAAATCAAGTGTAAATAGCACACACTGTGTCAGATCTATCACTTAGGTAGGTAATACCTAATAGGGGGTCTAGTACTACTATTTCAAGGATAGCCTTTAAGATGTACACTGTTTCA